GGACAGTGCCCACCGACATCATCTGCATTCTGTCTCCTCCACCAGCCGGCCGGCAGCAGGTGCGGCTGCCCGCAAAGGCAGTGCGGGCTAGAGAGGACTGCTGTTCTGAGTCTCAACGACCAGCCCCGGAAGCGGTGCCCATTCTGCTCCACCCCTCCCCCAGATGACTGCTGGGTACAGACCGTGCCTCCCTGGGCTCTTGTCCAGCTCTTCCCCTCCGCAGGCAGCACCGGGCTGGGGGGCCCGGGGGGCCGGCCTCGCTCACGGCCTTTGTCTGTGGGAGGAAGCAGTGGTTGTTAGCATGTCTGGCTTCACAGCACCCAGAGCACCCCAAAACAAAGAGCGGCCGGAATCCCATAAGGTCGGTCACTGCGCTACTTGGTAAGTTCCTAGGTGAGTTAGGGCCTCACCTGTCTCAGCTGTGATCAGGCCATGGGCTACCACAAGGGGTCATCTGGCCTTGCTCCCAGTCTGGTTGGGGCAGGGGCCACTCGCTTGCCCACCATTGGGAACAATGGCAGTTCCAGGCTCCCTGAAGATGCTCTTTGGGAATTAAACCAAACCCAGCACAGCCAACCCCACTCCACAGAGGCAGAGGTCAATCCAGGCTTGGAAGACCCCCGGTCAGGCGGCCAGGACACAGAAACCCACCATCTCGTGTGACCATCTCGTCGTGTGTTTGTCTGTGTGTGCATGCACAGGTAGACATAGAAACAGACAGGACACACATGTGCACACAGATATACAAGCATACATGTGCACACAGACTAAACATGTGCATATGCATACACAGGTACACATGTGCTCAGAGACACATGCACACAGGTGCACACGTACACACAGACATAAACACACGAACATATACATATGCCCAGATCCACATGCAGACACACAGTGGAAGAGTTGAGGCTGTCTTGTAGTACATAGGGTTTAGTTCGGGGCCTGGCCCTCGTCCCTGCGGTGGGGTAGGGTGGGGCTTGTCGCGGGGACATTTCCTGCCCTTGGGTGCTGTGACCCAGCCAGCTCCGGTGTCTGGCCTCAGTTCAAGCCCATGTTCCAGAGACACGAGGTGCCTCACTCTGTGGCCCCCCCTAAGACTCAGGGTTCTAATCCAGATAATAGAGCCCTGCCTTCCAAGCCCACACCCGCCCTGGGGACCTCACAGTCACCCTGAGGTGCTGGAACCTTCTGCAGCCGCCCTGAGCAGTGGTCTGCCCCACGAGCAACCATACTGGCTAAACAGCCACTGCTGCCATCAGAGCAGAGCCCTCGGCTCAGCTGGCCAGAGCCACACTGGCCACGAGCCTTTGGCTCTGCTGGTCACTGAGGATACTCGTCTCACTACAAACTTGCCCAGAGCTCAGATCAAGGCCAGGGCTGACCGAGGGCATGGCCACCTCCACAGACCTGCCCCAGCACCTGGCAAGGTCACAGCCACCTGCTACCACGTCCAGGCCACTGCTGGGACAGAGCAGGCTCTCCACTGAGATGGACCCCTCTCCGGTCTGTGACCTCATTGCACAAAATGAACCAACTCCTTTCACGAGGGCAGCACAAGAAGGTGTAAAGTGTTTCAGATCAAGGCTGTTGACCACATGACCACCGCAGCCATTTCAACAGTGTCCCCATTGGTGCGTTCACGTCTTCACTCACCCCACCCCACCCCTGCACCTGTGCAGGTGTCAGCCTCGTGAGGGGCATCAGGGGTGGTCGCTCTGGAATCGGGGTGGGAGGGTGGGGTGAATGGGACTAAAAAGGCAAGGTTGTCACAGGTGTGCATCCTCTTCGGCGTCTGCTACCGGCACGCACACGCACACACGCACGCGCACGCGCGCGCGCGCACACACACGGTCACGGGCGGCTGCCGTGCATTGGGACAGCGTCCCCGCGGGATGCGAGCAGCCCTGCGGACCCGCCCCCACCATCATCTGACATTAAGATCCTCTTTTACTGCTGAAAGTCGATCTTTTAAAATGCGGGTCTTTAGATGGTGCTTTGGACAGCACCGAGCCCGTGTGGCCCGGGAGCCCTCCTTGGAGAAGAAGGTCCATTTGACACCGTGGACAAGCCTCCTCTCCTCACAGGCGCCCATCGCATCGCTCAGAGGACCCGTGACAAACATCCGTGCTGCCCTGAATTGCTTCCTTAATCGCTGCCACTCTCCACCAGCCATCCACTCTGCAGCCCTGCTGAGGGGGGCGGCTCGCCCAGTGCTCCTCCTGCCCAGCCCACACATGTACCTGAGTGCTGCCTCTATGACCCTCCCCGGGCCACTTCCACGGTCCGCTCTGACATGCTGAAGTGCGCCTGGCTCTGGGCCTCTCTACAAACCCAGTGATGCAGTCCCAGATCGCTCCCCGGAGGGCGGGGTGAGGCCATTTGTGGATGGAAATCAACACGTCTTACGGTGATGGACGCTCAAGTACAGAGGGGCCGCCATCCATCTCACTCTTCTGAGTGGGACGGGATGGCCAGCTCTCGCCCAGAAATCCATCTATCGATCGAGCGCTGGGCTGTGGAGGGCTCCCCAATGGCCTTGGGCTGGTTTTCCTCCCGGGCGGGCTGACGGCAGAGGCGTGTGGATGTCTGCAGCGAGAGGAGAAGGCTTTGTGCTGGGAATAGCCACATCCATCACCTGACACGGAGGCCAGCTCCGCCCTAGGCATCATGGGGGCAGGGCAGGAAGGAGGGCATGGGCAGTCAGGCAGTCTTCCTGCAGAGAACTGTCCCCAGGAGGGGAGCAGCAAGGGCCGGAGAAGCACGTCATTGCAGAGAAGTAAGGCCCAAGCCCTAGCCCTACTGCACGGGCCAGGCTGGGCCCGCAGAGGGAAGGGCCTCTGGCCATATCCCAGTATGCAGGTCAGCGTGTCCCCTCTTCCCCCTGGGCTCTGGTCCCCTGCTCAGCCACAATTGCTGTCTTCTGCCATCCGCCAGTTCCCCCTACCTCGGCGCCACCCTGCCCTCTGGGACAGACCGCACGCCCCCATTGGGTGTGGATGAAGCCTTTGTGCCAAGTGATTTCAGAAGCTGATGCCCAGGCCTTTATTCCTAGTGTGTCTTTGTCCCCACGCTGCTGACACCCGCTCAAACCACAGCAACACGCAGGCCTCTGGCGAGAGTTGGTGGGTGCCAGTGAGGCCCACTGGCTGGGAGGTAAACCTGGGTTTCCCTCCTGAACACAGAGCACTGCTGCCCAACTGCCAGGCAGGCCTGCTCCCGCCTGACGTGGGGCCTGCACTTGCACACTGACTACGGCGAGGGCACACTATGGATGTGCTGGGGACTCACAGCACCCCCAGTGGGTTCCTGAGACTGTCCCTGTGACGGGAGTAGGAAGCCCAGGCTTTCTCCTGAGGAGCTGCTGGTGGTTTCGAACTGCCGACCATGCGGACTGCAGCAGAGTGCATAACCATTGCACTGTCAGGGCTCCTCCAAGATGTGTCGTGGCTTTGTAGCAGGGGTGGGGCCAGCATCAACCCAAGCTCACGGCACAGGCCCCACCACGAGACGCCGCTCCAGCCAAAACACCGGGGGCAAGTTGATGAAATGTTGGACCAGTGTGGCATGCAAATATTGTTCTAGATATCCGACTGGTCCTTGAGAGGCAAAAGGCCCGCTGTATCTGGCTTATTGCATATTGGCTGGATCATGGCGGCCCTGCCCGCCCCAAAGTGTCCCTTCCAGGTGTAGACTTAAAGGTACCTGTCTTACCTGGTATCAAAGCCACACACACAGGATGGTTGATGGGAGTCCTGTCTCACAGTGTGATTCAGGAGTAAATGCTGAGCCAGGGCACTACGTACACTGGATAAAAACACTGAAGGGGAGGGGGAAGGGGGGACCGAGCGCATCGATGGACACATAACCCACCCACCCCAGAGGACAAACAACAGAAGGCATGGGGAAGGCAGATAGTGGTGGGTGCAAGATATGCTAATAATGATAATTTATCAAGGGGTCATGGGCAGGAGGGTGCTGATACCAAGGACTCAATAGAAAGTAAATGTCTGGAAAAGAATGATGGCGACATGTGTACAAACATGGTTGATGCAGTTGATGTATGGAGGGTTGTAAGAGCCCCCAGTACAACGATCTTAAAAACAAAACCACTGCTATTTCTTTCCCCTTTTAAGGTTAGAAAAAGGTTGATTTTTTTAAAAAAAGATTGAAAATAAGTCACACACCAATTCAAAATGATCCTTCTTGCCAACTAGAAATGAGAACCGCCGTTTCCCAAGTCTGAGGGGATTCAGGAATCCAACCGCCTCTTCATTCAGCAAATACCGAACTCATCTCGGGCGCCTCACCCGAAAGTCCATCAGGGATTAGGTCTGCAGTCCCTTTCCAGGCGGGAACTCTAAAACCACACCTGTGGGGGACCCGGACTAAGGAGGGGGCACAAGTGATGGCCTTCGGGAGAAGTGAGGACACACTTCTCTCTTCCCGGCTGGGGGTGGGTGTGAACCCACAGGAAGAGGTGAGGCGAGGGGGAGGGGGCGGGGCTGGTGGTGTAGGGGCTAAGCATTGACAATGCAAGCCCACCAGCTGTGTGTCTGGGAGAAGGGAGAGGTGGTCTGCTCCTGCAAAGATTTAAGTCCTAAAGGCCCTGACTGAGTAGTTCTCTGACCTGCGGGCCGGCTGCTACGAGTGAGAATCAACTTCAAGCCCCAAGGTCGAGCGTTTGGCCTATTCTGAAATGTTGTCTATAATCTCATTCTACTTAGATCCGTAATCAGCCACATAGAAACAGCAAGCAATCAAACGACTTATCGAATTGGGAGACCCGTTGAGAAAGATCTCTCCCACGTTTCAAAAGGGCAAAGATGTCGCCTTGACGGTTCAGGTGCACCCTGCCCATGTCATGGTCTTTTCCGTCGGCTGCACGGTGACCCTCTGTCCGGCTGGAGCCTGGTTTGAAGGAGGGGACAGTGGCACACGAGACCAGCTGTGCTGAGAGAGCAAGGGTCTGCCGTCCATGTCATCGGCGTGCCGAGAAGAGGGCGAGAGTCCTGGGTCATGTCTGCTGGACAGAGTCCTGAGCGGGGGCTCCTCTGCTCAGAGGACTGTTTCCAGGAGCCTGAGGGTGCAGGCAGGGTGGGGGCAGACAGGCTGGGGGCAGGCCCACCCAGAATCAGCCAGGGGCCTGCAGCCTGAGGGTCTCTATCACCCTTAGGCTTCAGCCAACCTCTAGAGAAATACACTGCGCATCTGGGGGACCAGGCCTGGCATCCCACTGAGAGGGAGCTGTGGGCCAGGCTCTGAGGGACCACCCTG